CATAAGCCTTGCGGCTACTCATACGCCGTCGTCAGATGCGACGGTAAATGCACTTCACGCGAGATTTATAGAGGCACAGACGCGGCTACCAAATTTGTACAATTGCTTTCTGAGGAAGCAGACAAGATCAACGAAACGTTTAAAAACAAAGAGCCGTTGGTTTGGTCACCCGAGTTACAAAAAAAAATATGAAAATTGTAATCGCTGCCGGATCTGTGAAAAGTTTATTGACAAGACAAAAGAATATCAGTGCCAGTGCCCATTTCCAAATGAACCAAAGACAAAGGACGAAAAAGCTGAAAACAGTTTTGCAAATGAAGCTGGGTTTAGCTGGGTTTAGAGAATTGCTCTGTATGACGTGTACAAAGCCCATTAATAAATTTTGCAATGTCAGACATCATTGACGGGCAAGTACCGAGGTCCAGCACACGCCAGTTGTAATCTCAAGTTAATAGTAGTACCCTATCAAAATAAAATCTCGATGATTTTAAACAACTTAGAAAAATATGACGCTCACCTAATCATGCAAGGCGCTCACGAGTATAACGGCAAAGAAATAAAATTAATCGCTAAAAATACCGAGAACTACATTTCGTTCTCGTTTCGTCAACTCAGGTTCTTAGACTCTTTTCATTTTATGCCGACTTCTTTAGACAGATTGGTTAAAAATTGTTCGCCCGATGATTTTAACTTTACTTCGCGAAAGGTTTCCCAATAGCACCGGCATGCTTTTAGAAAAGGGAATTTACCCTTACGAATATATCGACTCTTTTAGTAAGTTTCAGAAAACAAACCTATACCACCCATAAAATCTTTTTAGTTCTCTAAGGCAATCTACCGAAAAAGAACAACTGAGAGCACAAAAAGCGTGGCAAACGTTTAACTGTAAAAACCTAGGCGACTATCACGATTTATATGTGGAAACGGACGTGTTATTGCTTGCCGGTATCTTTGAAAATTTTAGAAAAGTTTGTAAGCAGAACTACGGTCTTGACCCAGCTAACTATTACACGTCACCGGGTCTCTCTTGGGATGCCCTTTTAAAACACTCGGGGGTCAAACTAGAGCTATTAACCGACATTGATAAGCATTTGTTTTTTGAAGGGCAAAAAGAGGCGGAATCTCAAGCGTGGGTGCAAAGCGATATGCAAAGGCAAACGATCCAAACGTACCCGACTATGACCCGAATCAACCAGAGTCTCACATTATCTACCTAGACGCAAATAATTTATACGGTTGGGCGATGAGTCAGTATCTACCCGTGGGTAAGTTTCAGTGGTTAAAAAGCTTAGACAAATTTACCCCCGAGTTTATTTCTAAGTTACGAGTCAACAGCACACGCGGTTATATATTTGAAGTGACTTTAGACTACCCAAAATACCTACACGACAAACATAACGACTTCCCACTCGCCCCTGAAAATCTAGTGGTTTCTCCCAAATGGTTTTCGAGCTACCAACAAAATTTAATTAGCAAAGGAGAAAAGGTAACTTCTATCGACAAACTCGTGACCACTTTAAGCACCAAACAAAAATATGTGGTTCTGTATCCTCGGGTACGACCTGAAGTTCCTCTTTTACAAAACTCCTATTTGGCCCCTTTAACAGATAATATAAAGTGGGGCCCGTTTTTACCTTTTTGCCTGTCACTCGTTTAAATTGACTGGTGCGCTTCTCCACTTGATAAACGTCCACAGATCAGACCGGATCTGTCGCTCTTCTGACGGTGCCGCCCTCTTGCTCATCCGGGTAATATAAATATTGAACGACCACGCTTGGAGGTAATTCACGCGACGTGCTTTTAACAGGTGCCTTCGGTGCTTGTTTCACTCGGTCTAATTTGAAGGCTTCTGCAGGAACGGCATCGATTAAACGCGTTTTTTCCTCGTTTAACGATTTCACAACCTAAGGCAAGCACTCCACCCATTCCACGTTTCGCTCACCCACGTTTAACATTTCTTGAGCGTATTGAGGACCAAATAACCTTTCGGCTAAAGTACGGTTAAACCTTTCCACGATCCCCTGCGATCTATGTAAACCCGGCTCGCCCACTTGAATTTTTACCCCATGATTAACTTTTTAAACTCGCCTTTAAATGCAGATCCCGAGTTTACCATCATAATTTTAGGCCAATTCAAGGGCGATCGGTCGTACATTGTCTTGGGGGTGGGGGAGATATATCGATTCAAATGGAACGACAGGCCGAAACCGCGGGTCCTTTGACGATGTACGTGTTTTTGGTGATGGATGCGCAACTGACGAAGGAAGATGGGAATTTTAAAAGTTTGATTTATTAAATGAGTCAGATGTTTAAATCACCGCACTGCGCTTTACTTATCGGTAAGACTGGGTCAGGTAAAACTCAGTGGATATTAAATTTATTAGAGACTGAACATCTATACCAGGTTCCTCAGTCGGCTCTTTTAACCCCCACTCAATTTCTGTGTTTCTAGTAATGTTAAAAAACTTTTTCTCCAGCTGAATGTTTTTAATGCAAATAGACTTGGTGCCTTTTTCGTTTTTGATCGGGTTTTTAAGCTGAAAAGTCTGCGGATTTTCGGTCAAGTGAAAAGTGTGAGTCTCCATTTTATTTTATACGCGTTTAAAAAATGTCAATTTTGAGTAAAATTTTACCGTCTTTATTGTTAACTACCTCTTGCCGCTCGTTTCTCAACGAAAATTCAAAACTGGTTATTCGCTTATTTGAGAGTAATTTAACGCTTTCGCCTGGTACACAACGTGTACGAAGGTCGCCCGTTAAAATAATTCAAATGGTCGTTTATTTCTCTGCAGTGTATCCAAAGTTCGTCAAAAGGATTTGTGTTTATCTTTCCCTTGTAAATCACGTTTGGCACGTGTCGACCACTCGGCAGATTTAAAAGTTTGCCGACTTCCTTACCCAATTTTAACCTGAGATTTAAATCCGTTATCATTATTGTTACCAAATTTGACTTTTCGTGAACTTTAAAACTCACACCCGGAATGGCGTTTAAAATAAAATCAAACCAATCCACGTTGTAAGATCCCGGAGGAATAATTACGTTTCCCTGTTCACCTCCTTGTAAAAAATCTGCGGGTGTTTCTCTTTAGTGCAATCGATGCATCACCGGAGCGTTTGAACCAGAAGCCGTACCTAAAAGAGTGGGTCTGGGTTCAGTTTGAGCGGCTCTGATGGTTCTCGTTCTTTCTTCGTTGTCGTCGCCTAAAAATCCCTCTTGAACAAATTCTAAAGCGATTCGACGGGCTTCTTTGTGAGTATCGACTTGGCCTTGGGCCTTAGTATTAAATAAATTAACACGTTTTCTTTCTCTTGGTCTGATGATTCGGCTGATATTGAACTTAATCTCGAACTTTTACTCGTTAACGTTTTGATTTGATTCTCAAGGTCATTTCTTTTTTGACTAATTGAGACACTGAATTCTTCAAAAGTCCCCGCTTCATAAGCTCGAACGTAGTCTCGTATTACGTCATAAAACAGAACCAAAGTATCCATCTGCAATTCTGAAAATGGTACTGTCAGTTCGAGTGTTTCTATGAGATTGAAATTTATGTTAATAATAGATACTGGTCAGCCTGTATTGCCGGTCTAACTCCATCGGGGCCCTTTCTGCGGGGCTTCCTTCGATTTGAGTTTGCCATTGGATTTCGGTGGATTTTGTAATGTTGAAATAACCCGGGCAAAAGCTTACTTTTCTGACTTTAATCTTTTTATCAACTTTTAAATTGTCGATTTGATTTTCTAATTTAAACGTCTGCTCGCTTCCGGTCAAGTAAAACCTATGAGTCTCCATTTTATTATATACGTTTTGAAAAATCTTGTTTGGCGAAGTTTAATTTATCGAGGGCGTTTTCCCAGTGCTTATCCAAAACTTGAAATATATCTTTCACTTTTAAGACAAAGAGAGCGACCATAGTAAAAGAGTAACCATAGTAGTATGGAAACGGTATCTTCTAGATACACCCCACCTTCAATAATCGTCTCTTCTTGCGATAATCAGAAACTAAATCGCGGCAAAATTGGAACATAGGTTTTCTAAAGGCGAGATGGTTTTAGTTATTTTCAAATCGCCGAGGGTGAAATGGCTTCATAAAATTTTTTTTAAAAGTGTGCCGCAGCGGTCCAGAGTATTTCGATTTTGCCGTGGTTTAGCTCTTGTATTTTGAGAAAAAGTGGGGGTCGATGAGGTGATCGAGGGTGAGGTTGGTCTCAAAGATACCGTTTCCATACTACTTCGTTTGAGTTGAACAGTTCGGTGAAAACAGGGAGAACATAACATTAACCTGTATTTCTCTTCTAATATTTACAGTGCCAAAACAAAACATACTATCGCCTACACCTCAGGCTTCTTTGACCGGTTACACGTTTGGCCCAGAAGAACCCTACGCCCAAGGTTCCCTTTGAGGGAGAGGGTTGTTTGTTTATACATTATTCTGAGAAGGCACGTACAATGTAATTTGCGCACATGTGAATGGAAGTGGACTTTCGCGGTGCGTTTTTTTTTGGTCCCTTTGGCGCACCATACTTTTCTTGGACGCGTGCACCCTGAATGTCAAACGGTTACTTATTCAACGTTTGAATATGGAAGTTATTTGTTCAACGTTGAATGTCGAACGAGGAACTAACTTCACATCGGTGCTGAAAGGTGGTTTGTCGACAGTCATACTTCAGAAATGTTGGGTGGGTAGGCCAAATATTGCAAATAACTTGGATCTCCGGAGTTCCCGTTTTAAATAAGTAGTGTCTGATTAATTCAATGCATATGTTTTGTTCTACAGCAGAAAGGGATGGAGGGAATCGCCTTTTGTTTTGGGGCCCTGAGGCGAACGGGGAATTCCCCGTGCATGCCTGCCGTGAGCTGGTTTTTCCCAACTGTCGACTGTCTTGCCAGGATGATCCTCTTGCCAGACTAGTCTGCAGACAAGACTATGCCTGAGCAGCTTGGGCTAGTGAATTAAGTTGGCACTTGCAGGACCCATTAATGTAACTGTTGTATGTTGTGACGATTTATCAGTTTCTTTCTGAGTAAATTTTTACATTAGGGCCATGATCTGCAGAGACGTGAATTACACCCGTGATGACTACTTTGTCATGTTTGTGCGATGTATGGGAGCCAGAACGTGGTGATAATAATTGTTTTAAAAAAGAGAAGCAGTTTTAAACAAAGTAGAACAGAAGCATTTATTGTGACCACTAGTGGTAGCAGCATTTTGTTTTCATTATTCTTGATGGTATTTGACCAATTGCTTATTCATTTTAAGTGACATTCTAAATGATTTAATGTGTGTCTCTCAGGCATGCATTACTCTCAAAGAAGGATCCTGTGGGGGCATGCCCCCCCCCAAATAAATAACTTGAAAAAATATGAAATAAGAGAAAGAAAAGTTTTGGGTCCAGTTGAATTTGCTTCCTTCCAAAAGCATGAAAAAAGCCCCCAGAAATGTAGCCTCACCCCTCAAAAAGGCCATAAAAAGCAACATGAAACTAAACCTGATGTTTTTGGCCCGCGAAAGCAAGTTTGCCCCCAACAGATTATTTTGAATTGTGGAGGTGTGTTTGCATCAATTGTATGTTGAATTCTAAATCTCAAGCATTTGTCAAGTATTTCATACACTCGAGCATATTGAACTCTTGGAACTTGCAGGAGTGCCCCATATCGGAATTTTCAAAATGGCCGTTCACTGCAAGTATTTTGAAAAAGAAACCTATAAGAGGGGTTGAGAAAAGATGTATTTTGAACAAAACGAAAAATGTACACATAGTCCTAGATATAAGCGACTCTCCATGGGTATTGTACACAACCAACATAGAAATGGCTGTCACAATGACTTCTTTATCTCAGATTGTTGGATATGATTTTTCTCTTTCTGTTACAGGTTCACAATGGCACTTGCAGCCATTTTAAGTTCTTCATTGCAGTCTTCGTCCAGCACCAGAGCCCAAACATTAATTCGTTTGATACTGACTTGCGCCGTCTGCATCCACATTGCTCGTGCGTTTAGTTTTAATGATGTGGCGAAATACGTCGACAAACCATGGTGTTTGATGGAGTGTTGCCAAGTTGATTTTGGCTGGATAATTCATACCAATACCTCAGGCAAGTAGTCAGTGAAGTGAAACTCCAAGTAGAGTGTACCTGTCCTTTTCCCCCTCAAAAAGCCTGTGGGAACATGCACTAACCAATTTGTACTGGAGAATGGGTTGAAATCTCGAGAGTACCTCAACTCATCTCAAGTTAATGGTTAATCCTAAAAGAGCCAGGGGGAAGGGGCAAAATCCGTCCCTTCTTATTTTTTTTTAATAACTCACTCTAAGCTTTCTGTGACTTTTTCAGCAATATCTTGCATTCACTTTGACACCAATTTTATGAAAATCGGTCGTACCACTCTTGCACAATGCCCATTTTTCCGAGACAGGTCGGTCAAAACTGTATAGTGTTTCTATTGACATGCTGAATGCATGCAGGCTGAGTTGAGTGTGGCCTTGAACTTCAATTGGCCATAACAAACCAACAATATTTCAGACTGGGTTGAAACGTCAGTCATGTAGGTTGAAAGTTGAAATGTCATTTGTACTGACAATGTCTTTACATGTATGCCAAGTTTCATAAAGATCAAGCAGTGGACGTTTTTTTACCTGAAATAGCTGGTGGCTAAGCCACAGAGGTTTGGGGCAGTTTTGGGTAGTACAGAGAGTAATTGGCTTGGCAGTTATTCCTTTTGGCCAGTTGTCTGACTAACTGGTCTAATCACTGTTCATGTACCAAACAGGCTTGCAAGAAGCTCTCAGTATGCAGGTATTTGGTCAGCATCTAGTGACTGACCATGTGGTTGGAGCAGTGGACGGTCATCTCACCAACAAGGACCCGAACAAGCCACTGGTGCTGTCCTTCCACGGCTCGACTGGCACGGGCAAGAACTACGTCGCACGCATCATCGCTGAGACCATCTATAAAGAGGGGATGAATAGCAGATATGTCCACCACTTTTCTGCCAATAAACATTTCCCCCACAAAAGGAAACTTAAACAGTACCAGGTACAAGTTTTTTTAAAGCTTGAAGCTTGTTTGGTAGTGTTGTGGTCAAGACCATTCAAGAGACCAGTCCCAAGTAGCAGGGCAAACAATTTCCAAAGGAATGCTTTTGTTGCCATTTACGGAATAGTCATTTGAATTCCAACTGGAGGTCTTGTGATGGTCCTATAGGGTCTTGTGATGGTCCTATAGGGTCTTGTGATGGTCCTATAGGGTCTTGTGATGGTCCTATAGGGTCTTGTGATTCTCAAGTGATGGTCCTATAGGGTCTTATGATGGTCCTATAGGATCTTATAATGGTCCTATTAGGTCTCGACTACAACGTTTTTAAGTGAAACCGAAAGGTTGTGCATAAAGAATTGTAGATTTATTGAAAATAATTTATCTTTTCACCTTATTTTCCATGTTCAAACCCAAAAGTCACATATTCATATTATTGTATTCAAACTTCTTCATTATCCTTGTGCAGAAGAAGATATGAATTGCTGTTTTCAAGCATATTTCAGTTGTTTGGCATTCCTGTTGTTATAGTCCTGCTTGTTGAGTTTGGCAAGTTCGAACTGTTTAGAGTTTACTAGTGGGAAATGTTAGAAATCCGGCTTGTCACTGTCACTTACATCCCTGGCATCAAACTGCTTGTTGGCCTATGACAATCACGTGTACTAAAGCCACTTTCGTCTTTTGTCTACAGCAGAAGGTAAGTGTTTGTATACCGAGACTTCTTTTTTATTGACATAAAATCTCCACTGTCCAGGGGAGGACGCAAAGTGGGTGAAACCAAAGTGCACATGAAACAAGAAAAGTTTCCAAGATTGTGAAAAATCACCCGTTTGTACTCTGCAGAATTATTTGAGGAGGTACGTGAAAGCGGCAGTCGCATGGTGTCCCTTCCGACTCTTCATCTTTGACGAGGTAGAGGACATGCCGGAGGGGCTTCTGGATTCCATCAGGACCTTCCTGGATTACAACATCCACATTGACGGAGTTGACTTCCGGAAAACCATCTTCATTTTCTTAAGGTGATTGTCCCCACTATCCCCATACAAAAGTTGACGTGATGACCAGTTGTGCAACAGTTGTGTAAAAGTGGCAACTAATATGCAAAAAATAGTGAGATAAAATTGTGGAAATATGGAAGGGCTGCATAGCACCGTGATCAGAAATTTGCGGGTAGTTAGAAAAGAAAACAAATATTGATTTGTGCGAGATTTTGCTGGATAAGGGTGCATTTTTTCAGAACCAGCAGAAAGTCTTCTCTATTTTGTTACATTTCATCGATGGCTGCTCCACCCAGAGATTCTCCTAAAAGGATCAGAATCATCTAGGAACCGAACTGGTTCCTTCCCTAACCTACCATCACAAAACATCAGATCGGTACATTGTTTGATGCCCCTCAAAAGGCCAGTTTCCTAGTTTCGCTTCAAGGGTGTCCAATTTGTGTGCTGGTTTTACAGTAACATAGCCGCCCTTGAGATAAGCCAAAAAACTGCTGATCACCTGCTGGCCGGGAGAAGCCGGACAGAAATCACGCTGAAGGAGATGGAGAAGGTCATTGAGGTCACTGCTATTGATGCCTCAGGTGAGTGCCACAGCAGGAAGGCTGGGACATACTCAAGGTGGACGCAAAAGCGAAGTGAATTTGACAGCACGAAACAGTTTGCAGCAAAATTCGTTCGAATTAACATGTAGGCAGTGATTGTGAATCCACAGTGTCAGTATTTCGTCTGATGTCACCAAAAAATGTCTTCGATTTCAATGTGTTCTGTAATTTATCCAATAAAATGAAGTTATGCCGTTGCGTAAAGTTTGGTGAAATAAGTTGCATCTGCTAGAGCACGATTAGCTAGAGAAGGATTGGCTAGAGTAGGATTGGCTAGAGTAGGATTGGCTAGAGTAGGATTGGCTAGAGTAGGATTGGCTAGAGTAGGATTAGCTAGAGTAGGATTAGCTAGAGTAGGATTAGCTGGAGTAGGATNAAATAGCTTTATAATTTTTTATTAAAGTGCGCCGCAGCGGTCCAGAGTGTTTCGATTTTGCCGTGGTTTAGCTCTTGTATTTTGAGAAAAAGTGGGGGTCGATGAGGTGATTGAGGATGAGGTTGGTCTCAAAGATACCGTTTCCATACTACTAACGAAATCAGTCAGACGCCCCAGCCATCAACGTTCTTTTTTGGGTGTCTTTCTTTACACTTTAGCGACAAGTTTGCCTGCATTTCAACCGGGCAAAGGCAGTTTTCCACGGTCAAAAGGGCTTTGACAAAAGTCGTGTCTCTTCGCTGGACTTTTTCGCTTGCAAACCAGAGTGGAAATGTGAATGCCTAACACTACACTGAATTTCTCAAACCAAAATAAAATACCCGAACCCCATGCCCCGCCTGGAGTTTACATTGAATGTGATGTTATTGGTCTCTTCAATCGGGAGAGACTCCTTCCAACCCGGGGCGTGGGGTTCGTCGGCGTCAAAGAAGCCCTGAAATGAAGGCGCAGGGTGTTTACCCCAGTGTAATTATAAAAACGAAATTAGAGGGTAATCATAAAAAACTTCTTGTTTTCATCGAACTATTTTCCGAAATCGAAAAAATACACATCAATCTCACGTCCAGCTCTAAACTTCTTTTGATCAAAGTGTTTCCCTGGACTGATACGACCCCGTTGCCTACATTTCAACCATGGCAATTGCGGATTTCGACTGTGAAAAAGGGATTGACAAACGTTTTGTCGCGTAGGAACATTTCTTAGTCTGGAAACCAGAATGGAGAAAAGAATGAATTACAGCAAACTTTTCTAAAATCAATATAAAATACCTCAACCCCATGCCCCTCCCAGGGATTACATTGAATGCGATGTCATTGGTCTCCTCAATCGGGAGAGACTCCTTCCAACCTGGGGTATGGGGTTCTTCGGTGTCGAACAATCCCTGAAATGAAGGACTTGTCGTTTAATAGATAGAACTAGAGGTTAATACTAAAAAAGTCCTTTTTTCATGAAACTATTTCACAGAATCGAAAATACACCAATCCCACGACTGAGTATACTTTTTTTTTACTGTGCTTTTGTGCACATTAGTGACCCCGTTATGCAACTGGGTCGCTTCAGTCCAGGGAAACACTTTTGCCACTCCGCCCATAAACACGTTTCCCATTTGCCACTTCTTCCACGCGCCACTTCGACCTGCGTAGTAATGGTGCACGCCCTCATCTCCTAAGCCTATGAATTCGGCCCGTGATTGACCGAAACATCTTTTAACAGGTGTATTGCTTGCTATTTTTTTCGGAAAAATAATTGAACTATCAAGACTATCAACTTTTGGGGGGGAGGGGAGAGGTCCCAAAAGTTGGAGGTATTCCTGTAACCTTTTATGGCCTTTTCTGGGGGTTTGAGAAGGAATGAAATAGACCAAAAATATCGTCTTTCTTTTATCAAAAATATGTAGATTTGTTTCCTTGGGGACTTGAGGGGGGAGGAGGAGAAGCTGGCCCACATTGGCTCGAACGGATCCACCCGTTTGGTTCTTACGATGCACTTTTTTCCCTCTCAGGTTTTTGCGGATGTAAAACACACATTAAGACTCAGCTCGGTGTGGTGTCAGTCACTGTTTGGTAACAATTTATGTCACCTTGATATGAAAAAAGGGCCATGACTGTACCATTTCCAGAAGTAAACACTTTGTCTTCTTTTCAGAAAGTTTGATTAATTTATTCAAGTATTCAAAAAACCAAGAGTTCCACTGCTAAAGTGAATTCCCAGAAATATCATTCACATATAAACTATCTTTTTTGTACTTATTAGCAATCACATAAATCTAACTTCTGGGCTGCAAAGTTAAATCTTTGAATCACACTACTTATGACAATGGAGATGATATACGGCAGCCATCTGGGAGGGCTTAATTATAAGATATTTGTATAAATTGTAACTGCATGATGAAAATATACTATAAAATGGTTTTCCAAGAGCCCCCCCCCCC